CTCTTGGTGTTCTCATTGTGGCCTACTTCATGGCCTACCCGCTGATAACATTGAGATCTAAGTCCCTAGTTATCAACTTGACCAGGATAATCTGGTCCCCAAGTCTCTTAACGTCTACCACTCCATACTTGAGGCTTTTCTTGATCAAGATGCCTGCGCCATTTCTGTTTGCAGCCGTCCCCGTGTACCACAACTTGAAGCGGGTATCCTCCACCTCCCTTGCCTTTTGAACCCTCCATTTGGTTTCTTGGACACAAAGGATATCAACACCTCTCCTCGTTGCTGCATCAACTAGCTCCTGAAGCTTCCCTGTTAGAGACCCTATGTTCCAACTACCTAAGCGAATCCTCCTAGGCTCGGCTAGCTTCCTTACCCTTCGCACTCGTCGAGTCAAATGCGAAGACCCTTGCTCATTTTCCACTACATCTGGGTGTCGATGTAGCGCGCCACTAAGAATGGGACAACCCGGTCCTCGCTCACTTGTCACTGTATCCAGATCAAGATATGACATGCCACCGAGGGGTGATGGCCCGGCCCGTGCCTATTAGACACCATACCCAAGTTCCGATGTGGCGCGTCACTGAGAGGGTTATGCCCCAACGTAAATCTTTTGGGTTTCATCTCCATAAGAGTGGCTGAGTTTTTACGTTGGCTCGCCAAGCCTATCACAACCCTCCTCCTTTACCTGGGCTTGGGACCGACTATTTTGAGACAACATAGGCGGAGTTGGCGCCATGATCCGTCCAAAGCCCGAAAATTTTCGCTTGGAATTTTCAAACCGCGCGCCATCCTCCAAATTCCCACCCCTACTTAACCCTCCACCGCTGCCCAAGATCATCACAACCCACGCCACCGCCCCAATCTCCCAATAAGAAACCACCGCTCGCCTGCCCAGGCCGCCGATCCCCTTCTCCGATGGCCCACACGGAGTACACGACGTGCAAGTCCATCGGCGGCAAGGCGCCCCAGAAGCAGCTGGTGCGGGAAATCATGCAGGACTACAAGACTGAGCTGCACTTCCAGAGCTCCATCGTGTCGATGTTGCAGGAGGCCGCCGAGGCGTACCTCATCGGGCTCTTCGAGGATACCAACCTCTGCGCCATCCACGCCAAGCGCGTCACCATCATGCCCAAGGACATCCATCTCGCCCGCCACATCCACGAGGAGGGCTTCGAATGCTTCCTGCCCCCATGGTTCCTTGTTGACCCCTAGGGGATTTATTTCATCCACCTTTGCTTCGAGTTACTGTTAGGTTGTAGTTGATGATATGTTCCTATGATGTTAATTACTAGATCAAAAATTGCAAAGGATGTGATCTATTTTATCCTTGTTTCTGAGATCTCGTGAATCAAATTTCGTGCTTGGATGCTATGTTTGGTGAATGATTCTCTATCATCCTAGGAATGATTCTTGTTCTGGAGTTATTTTGTTTGCGTATCAGAAATTTGCAATTGGGAATTACCATTTGTATGTTCTTTAATTCTTTTGATCGTCGGCCATTTTATCTAACAAGCTATTAACTGACAGAATGCATAATTTGGTGTTCACTAATAGGATGCATAATTTGGTGTCAGCAACATCGTCTCTGATTAAACTTGAGATATGAGTATATGACCCCGATGAGGCTACTTCTACCAAAATTTTGAAAGATCGGAAGGTGGATGTGATTATGAGCCACTCATCACTGCAGTTGCTATGATATTGTTTGCAGCTTCTGTTCCATAGATTCCATCCTAGCTCTCGTACTTCTGTGGGTCTGTGAGGATCTTCGCACTTGCAGTGTCGGTGTTTACAATCTTGTTGGTGCCACACTGCACATATGGCCATATGGGTTAAAAATTGGAGGCTCCGTTACCATATCCGTACCAAGCCTTTAGTTCCATACTAGCCTTGAAATCACCACTTGACCAGTTTTAGTAGTACTACTCTTGACACCTGTAATTTCAGATTTTGCTATAAACCAAGACGATTGATCTACTCACTGGATGGCAGACAAGATTTGACAGAGCTTACCATGAGCTTCTGAGTGCCTGAATAGCATGGGCATGACAGAATATTTGTCGACATAAACAGCCAATGCATTCTGCGGCGTCTTCCTAGCCGTGGCCAAGTTGTTGTTGAGCAGTTCGTTGTAGTACACAACAGAGCTATTGTAACTTGTCATACAGCCACACTCATTCAGATATCGCCATGCGGAACCTCCATGAGAAAAGCGAGGTTGTGTGCATCCTGGACGGATTTGCAATATTTTGTTGGTGCGGAGGCTGAGTGTAATTGGTATATTTATGATATTAATATATTCCCTTTGTCTAAAAAATGAGAAAAGCCAGGCAGCACCCGATCAGCGCCATGTTGAAAACCATGAAGCTGCGAGCCCCAATGTTGTACAATTCCTGGATTTTTGTTGTTGTTGAGGAAACTCAATTCTTGGAAATAGTTGAACTGGTACATGTCATTAAGAAATCTCCCTATCATATATTCATTGCAGGTGACTTTAACATGACTAGGCGGAACAGTGAAAAAATAAACCAGGAGGCTTGAACAGATGGGTCCTTTGTCCAATGTTGTCACTAAACAAGGTGATCTCATGGAAATTGAGCTTCATGGTATGATGTACACTTGATGCAATAACCATAAGAACCCTACCTATGAGCTTATAGATAGAGTGTTGGGGTCACCTGCTTGGGAGGGACATTTTCCCCTAGCATGCATGTGTCTCTACTCGATGGCAACTGCTTGGTGTTGGCGCTCCGGAGGACGCAAATCATATCTTTTTTCGATGCCATCGTCCTGTTTCTTGGAGTGTCATGCGAGTTGCGGCTGGACTTGATTAGGACCCTTCGTCAGGGTGGTCTTCTTTCGTGCCTGGGGTCCCTAAGAGGCCCTGAGAGGCCAGGCTAGTAAAGTTATGTGGACATGCGTTGGGGCGCTGCTATGGTCGCTCTGGCACATCCATAGCAAAATTACGATCGAGGGTGTGTTCCCATCTCATTCGGCTGACTATATTCTTAAATGTGTCACCTTCTTGCGGTGGAGTCCGTTGGGAAAGCGCTAGGACTCTGAAGGTTTGAAGACGACGATGCAACAACTACGCAGCATCAATAGCATCGCTCAAGCTCCAGTAGTAGCTGCTTAGGGTAGAAGCTTATTTTGGCTATTTTATGAGCCTGCGTGCACTGGTTGGCTTTTGCATGTAATATCCCTGGGTGGAGCCTGGAACTTCGTATGTCATTCGTGTGGTGTTTGGAACCTTGTCACTTTGTTGTGTTGTGGCTTTATTAATTTAAAGTCGGATGCCTCTGGCATTTTCATTCTAAAAAAATGTGTCTCTACTCTCACTAGGGAGCTATCTGATCATACACCCCTAATGATCGCTTCTCGAATGAAGCTTCCCGGAATGACTCCTACGACATAGGAGCCTCAAAGCTCCAATGAGTAACAAGTTTGATATAGCACAAGCAGGGGCACACATTGCTTTGGTGGAAGTGTAGCTCCGGGGTTCCTCTCTGAATCCTCAAAGTTTGGTGGAGTTTGGTTGAGGGAATAAGTCGTATGGGGGTGAGCTCTTTCGAGGTCAGTGGTGGGGGCAACTCGGATTTGGAGGGTTAGTTGTAGAGGTAGAAGAAGGGTGACTTCTATAGCTCCCTACAAATCCAACCGTTATTCTCACTTGTAGCACATGCTCGGAGATCCAACCCATCTAGAGGAGGATCCACTTGGTACCTCGGAGATTCGGCCTACCCAGAAAAGGTGGCATTGAGTACCCCGGGAATCCATGGGTCATATGCACAGAGACACGGGGTGTCAAGAGGAGATGCCAACTGCCCCTTGAAGATCAAGGGGTCAGGGCCTTGCAGAACTGAGGTATTTAGAGGAGATGCCAATTGGACCCGAGAGATCTGAGTGACTAGAGTCCGGAGCTCCGGGGCATCCGGTGAGAAACACACATCCTTTTCCGTACTGGTTTAGATGGATGGGTGGTTGAGGTGTGCTCTCACCTTCATCCTTCTCATTAGTTAAGACATATTATCTCTGTCCCAAATTAGTTGTCTTGGATTTGTCTAGATACATATGTACCTGACACTAAAATGTGTCTAGATACGTATGTACTTGACAATAAAAATATAAATAAATCAATTTTCACAATAATTTCCAGATTGGAATAATATGGTATGTATTAATTACCATTAATCCATTACATATCTTTCCATATTTTGTGTCTTTATGATGTTTTATTTGTTTCTCAATTGTAGCACGTAGTTTTCTCCTCCTTGCGTGGAATTAGCTGGCGTATTAAGAGGAAACGCCTGATTCTTCTCATTTTACCCCCGGTATAACGCCTTTGCATGCAAAACCATCTGAACGGTACTAAGGGCATGGCCAACGGGCTGCCCCAGACCTAGTGCCCCATGTTCCACGTAGGTTCGGATGACACGCTGGAGCTAAAGCAGGCGCTCCGCAAAGCGAACGGGCTCTTGCAGAGGAGCCGAATGCTTGAGGTAAAAAGTAAGAGGAAAGGAGGAGAGAGAGGGGTATGCCCACAGTGAAGGAAGGAGATGGGGAGAAAATAATTGTATTGGGTCCATTGAGCTGAGGTCACCTTATGCTGTCTCCTTTGGGTGAAGAAAAATTAAAATAGTAGCCCTGAAATTTTTATGTCTATTTGGAAGATGGGGCTACACCATTGTAGTGTTTCCATTGCTCGTGCCCTAATAGCGCCTTTACGGAGTAGGACGTCATAGCATGTCCATTGTGAGAGCTATACACTGGATGCCAACGCCTACAGGACTGGCACAGTCAAACCACCAGCCGTCACGCGTGCCACCGTTGCCCCGAGTCCTCCTGACCCATCGTTCTTGTCGTCGGAGTGGAGGCACCCCTGCATATAACCCAACGACTCCGGGCTCTGGCATGCACCTCCGCCTGGCCACCTTGTTGAGAGCAGAAGGGTAGCGTCCGTGGTGCGCGCTCTTGCTCCCTCCGTCGCAGCCGCCGGGCACATGGCCACCGCTGTGCCGCGCACCGCCGGCTCGGACGGGTCCGTGGTTGACGTGGAGATGGTAGAGGCGAGCGAGATCCGGCGGCGGACCAGGCCAGGCGACCGCGTGTCTCCGCCCGGCGACTGGGGAGAGTGGCACGACCGCGACGTCGCTCAGGGTGACCAGCTGGCGTCCCTGGAGCGCGTGTTCGCGGACCAGCGTGTGCCGTCGTGGCGTGAGCAGCTCACGGTGCGCGCCTTCGTGGCGAGCTTCTTCTTGGCCGTCATGTTCAACATCATCGTCATGAAGCTCAACCTCACCATCGGCGTCATCCCCTCCCTCAACGTCTCTGCCGGCCTCCTCGGCTTCTTCTTCGTCCGCCTCTGGACGTCGGCCATCGAGAGGATGGGGTTCCTCAAGCAGCCCTTCACGCGCCAGGAGAACACTGTCATCCAGACCTGCGTCGTCGCCTCCTACGGCATCCCCTACAGCGGTAATTTTTGTCATTCACTGGTTTATCGATTCCGTTTTTAGTCACTTGCATGCTCTATTTTTTTTTGGCGAATAATTACTGGCATGCTCGTACATGACAACTGCACCTAGACGCCTTTTTTACATATTTGCGAAAATTCTCTTGAACATAGCTATTCGTGAATGATACTAGGTAAAAACTTACTAAGGCAAAAGCTGGGTATCCTTATTTCACGATTAACTCAAAAATTATTTCAGGGGGCTTTGGTAATTACCTATTGGCCATGAGCGACAGAATCGCTTCGCAGGCAACAGAGGCAAATAACCCTCAAAATATCAAGAATCCGCATCTTGGATGGATAATTGGCTTCCTCTTCCTGGTCAGCTTCATCGGGCTCTTCGGTCTTGTGCCCCTGAGAAAGGTAAAAAAGGATTTTATGTTCCAATATTTTCGTGTTCGAGAAAAAATTGTTCCAATATTTTCTGAACCTGTCGTGTCAGATGCCAGTTTAACTAACTTAGCACTGCACTTCAGATTATGATCATTGACTACAAGCTGACCTATCCAAGTGGCACTGCAACTGCCTATCTCATAAACGGCTTTCACACACCCCATGGTGCCAAGATTGCAGAGTAAATACTGCAACCATTTCCATTTCTGTGCTAGTCAGATGCCTGCACAATGAGTTTACCAGTTTTGATTTGGTTTGCATCGTTTTACAGGAAGCAAGTAAAGAAACTGGGTAAATTCTTGGTTCTCAGCTTCTTATGGGGTTTCTTTCAGTGGTTCTACACAGCCACTGATGAATGTGGATTCCAGAAATTCCCATCATTAGGGCTGCAAGCTTTCAACAACAGGTAAAGACTGCACCCTGCAAAGGACGTCTCCAATCAAATCTCTCCCTTCAACTCTTGACCTTGAAGATCCTTCAAATTTGCAAAGCACACACATTCCTATATTCACTTTAACCGAACTTTTTTTTTTGCAAGGTTTTACTTTGACTTCTCTTCTACCTATGTCGGAGTTGGAATGATTTGCCCACATATTGTCAACGTATCTATTCTATTGGGAGGCATTCTCTCGTGGGGAATAATGTGGCCTCTTATAGCCAATAAAAGAGGCAGTTGGTTCTCCGCCGATCTGCCTGAGAGTAGTCTCCGTGGAATGCAAGGTTACCGGGTAAGAATTACACTCTTTCTTGAAACCCGAGTTATCCTTTTTTTCCTACTAAATTCCGATTGGTATGACAGGTCTTCATAGCCATTGCCTTGATTCTTGGCGACGGCCTCTATCACTTTCTCAAGATGCTCATTCTGACGGTCTACTCATTAAGATCTCGACTCAAGACGGGCAACGCTGGTCCATTTCCTGTCTCTGATGATGAAACATGTTACGGTACTGCAGCTATCTCATATGATGAGCAGCGGCGCAAAGAACTATTTCAAAAGGATCAAATCCCCTGGTACATTGCATATGGAGGTTACGTTGCTGTTGCCGCTGTATCTATTGGCACGGTCCCGCAGATATTCCCTCAGCTGAAATGGTACCAAATATTGGTAGCCTATATGGTAGCGCCGATACTTGCCTTCTGCAATGCCTATGGAGCTGGCCTCACTGATTGGTCTCTTGTTACAACTTATGGGAAGCTTGCAATCTTTGCTTTCGGTGCATGGACAGGTGCTTCAAATGGAGGTGTTCTTGCCGGCCTGGCTGCCTGTGGTGTGATGATGAGTATTGTTTCTACTGCTTGTGATCTGATGCAGGACTTCAAAACAGGATACCTGACACTAGCCTCACCAAGGTCAATGTTCATCAGCCAAATCATAGGCACTGCAATGGGTTGCGTCATTGCTCCCTGTGTTTTCTGGCTTTTTTACAAGGCCTTTGAAGATGTTGGGATCAGTGGAAGTGAGTACCCTGCACCAAATGCTGCCATCTTCCGCAGCATGGCAATACTAGGTGTCGATGGCTTCTCATCACTGCCAAAGAACTGCCTTACTCTCTGCTACATATTCTTTGTTGGAGCAATCGTTGTCAACTTGATAAGAGATCTTGTTCCCAAGAAGGTATCGAGATTTATGCCAATTCCAATGGCGATGGCGATACCATTCTACCTAGGACCATATTTCGGCATCGATATGTTCATTGGGACGGTGATCCTTTTTGTCTGGCAAAGGCTGGACAGAGTCAAATCAGACACATATGCACCTGCAGTTGCTTCCGGCTTGATTTGTGGTGATGGATTGTGGGTTTTGCCCCAGTCAATGCTTGCTCTTGCTAAGGTGAAACCTCCAATCTGCATGAAGTTCCTGTCAAGAGGGGTGAACGCCAAGGTGGATGCTTTCATCGCAACATTATCGTAGAATGTTCGTCACTGTTGTCAATCAAAGATTCAGATTGATGCCAGACATGTATGAAATTTGCGTTTGCCCATTTATTCAGAAAAATATGCCAGTCTAGTTGATATAACTAGATGTAAAACTATGCACAAGGAGATGAACGGCAAGTGTATTATTCTGTACTCTTTTGCAATTTAGTAATTGTTTAGAATCTTTTCCGATTTGATTTTCCCTAGTGTGTGTATAATGAATAGGTGGGGCGGGAGTTGCAGCAAGGCATTTTATCTAGATTCGCTTCAAATGCTGCACATAAGACTGGAAAATATCGGGCTAGATTCAAAATTTGTTACTAACAAAATTTTAATTGAAAAGAGTGGTAGTAGGCAGTAGTACTAAATTTACTCAGACGTGCGTACCTCGGGAAGAGGAGTTCGGATCCACTGCAGCTCGGACGAGTTCCCTGTCTGGAACACCGGCCAGTCGCCATGTCACTCAGCTCTCTGCCTCGGTGTACCATCCCACTCGTCTCGGCGTGGACATTACGTCAAACACCTTGCGTGCGCCATCTCTACCTCGGCGACTCAGCCATCGAGCAGACGAGCATGGGTAGCCTGCACCTAGGCGCCACCTGCATGGTGCACTCCGGCCGTGCCTGCCATGGCAGCCCCGTTCCGGCGTTCGGGAGCGCTGAAGCAGTATTTGCTTTGGGAGGGAATCGATGGCAAGCGATGAAGCAGAGACGCCGGACTCCTCATATTCTACGCCGAGGATGAAAATTCGGCAGATGAATCCTTCGTGTCCAGGCCAGAGAAAGGCGCGAAAATCGAACCATTGCCGGTCACGAACCACGATATCGACCGACCCTATACGGCTGTGCCGTGGTGCCACTCCCGACACCTCACGTTCCCGCCGCCGCCTAGAACGATGTCGCCCTCGCTTTGTTCGTACTGCGCGTTCAGGGCCACCGTGCATAGACTGGGCGACAGCAGTAGGTGTCAGGCCCTGCTATCTGATGATACTGAAGAATGCAACACTTCGACTGTTGATGCTCTGTTTTCGCTTCCTCAAGTCACCGTTGTCGTCTGAACGTCCATAACGGGCGACCTTCCTCGACCGTAGATCAACCATCCAACGGCTACCGGCAGCGAGGTTGTCACTGTTGCTTTTCCGACAATGCTACTATACTGTTTTCTCTCATCCTTTAGATACTTTGTAAGGCTATTCAACCTCGCTGACATCTCTCTCCTGACATCGCGGTTCGTGTACCAGTGTCCAGTAAACGATTCTTGGTTAAATCCAATTCTCTCCTTTACGACAGATTATCTTTCATGAATATGTCTAACCATTAATCAGACTTTACATAATATGTATTTAATTATCAAATTATAGTACAGTTAACCCTAACCACAAACGCAGCTTGTTGATGTGCCAAATGAAATTCTAGCATCCACAAATTTAACGACATAATTGTATTAGGCTAAATACCATAAAGGGTTAACATAACTATTACTCGACATCCACATCCCGTAATCAAATGTAGCATTGTCGATGTATTGATCCTACAAACATGGGGCAGCATATGCGTAGCAGCTCTACATGTGTCCAGATTTAGGCCCTCGGAGGGAGGTAATATCATGCTAACAACTTTATTGGAATGTATTGCTTGTATCGCCGTATGAATATGAAATCACAAGGCCTCGAGAGATGTTCTCAAGGTTACTAGGATATAGCAGACACCCACAACATCTCGTAATCAGTAGCATTCTCCCTGGTACTACAAGTTCTTAACTGAAATTCTATCACAACATCCGATAATCACTTGTGTAAGAGTTATAAGAGTAGGATAGGGACGAAATGAGTAATGGTAGACGCACGGGGATTTACTTAAGGATTTTATATGGACTAGCTAAAGTGAACCAAT